GAGCAGGCTGGAAGAAAGTTAGGGGTGACCAAACCATGAAAACACTGATAACTGAACTGTGCCATGTTAATACGTGGTTGGGGACTTTGAATAGCGTGGTTCAAAATCGTTTGCCATGGCGCAGATGCATTCGTCCTCCGTCTTCCTCCAAATTCTGAGATTCTAAACTCAACTATTTTTTGTTTTTATTTTACTAATTTATATTTACTCGAATCGTATCTTCGATGCCTCATCTTTCCTAATAACACTGAAACTTGTACTATTCTGGGATTTGGCTTGACAATTTTTTTTATTTTTCTGTGCTGATGGGGTATGGCAACTTGAACCGAGATGCATACGTACAAGGTTACACGTTGTGACTGACTGGTTCAGTCAAAAAAGAATCTTCAAGTGCTGATCTTAGAAGACAAAAAATCGGAAGTCTTAAAAAAAACTAAAAACTAAGTCGTTTATGGGCGATATGTTAATTCCTATATATTGTATTGTGATAATAACGAAGTAGCTATATCCATGACAGTGATATTTTATGACAACGCAAACCAAATAACTATATGAACGTTCGTCAATATTTGAACGAATGGTTTGACAGAAATAGGATAAATCATTCGTCGAAACTATATTTGAAATAACTGTCGCGACGGTAATCTAAATCAATTAATTTTATTTACTACCTTGAAAAAGTGGAGGCAACAATCACTGGATAAAACGTTGAACTTCAGTCCCTGGGTTCAAATCAAATATTTAAGAAAGGCTAAAATAAGTCGTTGTCCTACGTTTCATTGATAAATCATTGGGTCATGTCTACCCATCGATTGTGAGGAATTTCGGGAGACGGAACTAAGAGAAATAAAAAGGACAGCGGCAGCATATGAAACCATTACTGGACATCTATCTCTTTTCACTAGAGAAAGAAAGGCTGTAAATTAGTTGGCATAAATCTTTCTGACAAGGATGGAACTACAGTACTGGGTGGGGCGTTTTGAAGAAAACACTAATTAACATCCAGTTAGTCTCCAGTAATACACCATCCTATAGTAACTTTAATGGGAGATTGACACAAATCTCGCAATTTTTAGTGACATCAAAAAGATCATATTTAACTTGTGATGAAAAGGAGCAGCAGGACATGATAAGTTAACTCCAAAAATACTTGAAGATGGTTATTTATTTCAGGTATAGAAAGCCCAATGGTTAGGACCTGAATGTAGACGGTGATCTGGTGTTAAGGCCGCTTGGTTTTCAACATATAGGTAACAGGTTTGAACCTCACTCTACGTACTTCAGTCGCCTCAGATATTCTGATACGACCAAAGGTGAGAATTCTTCTCACAACTCCGCATTCACAGGCATTATAAGAAAAATCGTCTTAAACGGATTGTTGTTGAGAAGTTGGCTTCACCCACCATCACAATAAAATATAATCTTTAGCTTAGTTGCCAAATTGCTTTGAAGTGTAGATGAGGTATGGTTACATTAACAGTATCCCAAGTAAATAATAAGTAGATTCACTTATGCCTTCACAAAACGTCTCATTTATTTACGCTGGCTTCTCGATTACTTATAGCATATCAGTTTATTCTGGTGGATCGTAAGCACGACAAAACTTCGAAATGTGCTAACGATTTTAAAGCACTAACTACATCTGAAAGCCTTTAGAAGCTGTCTTGACTTATCTTAGTGGACTGGTATTATAAAACACATTTCAATAAAGAAATCTATAAAGTTGATAGCTCACCAGTTGGGAGTCTTTAAAGATTTCTCAAGCGCGGTAAAACTGATCGATCAAACCTTCGTGTGTCATTGTCTATTCCCACGATGAAGCGGAGGTCCTTAAGCATTACAATTCATCAGGATTAGATAACATTACCCTACTTAACGACAAAATCGAACTTCTAGTCAAAATAACGGGCCGAATCATTCATCTTCCGATACCAGTGTTCATTCATCCTAGGACCAAGGCGATTCCCATATCCATCTTTAAAAATGGGTTACATTAAAGTGTCCGACAATAATTGGAGTACAAGTGTACTTTCAAGTCCCTTTAAAATATTGGCTACCATCATATTCAATAGGTTGTGCGAAACTCATGAAATACAAACTCGCGAGCAGTACACCGGTCTTAGTTTAGATTGCATTGATCATGTTCTCACTTTTCACCGAATTCTTAGGGACACTTATTATAATGTAATAGTTACTAAGATTCTTTATATCGGCCTCCTTTGATTCGTTAAATAGGATTATACTCTGAGATCATCTGTTGTAGAAAGATTGGTCAGAAATTTTTGTTAACATACTTTGCGCGTTTTAGTAAAATATCTTAAGGAAAGTTATGACATACAACCACCTGTTTATTGTTTCAAGTCGGCAGTAAGGTTAAAAGGAATTATCAATTCTCACCCTAGAATTTCTTTGTCGATTGCAGCCTTATAAGAAAATGATGATGGGCTTTTCTATCTCCAGTTTGGGTAATGACACTATCATTATATACATAATCTAGTTCAAATCACATATAATCGGTTAACAATTCATGTGAATAAATAATTCCAAAATGCGAAGCAATTTCGAAAAACACTGAAGATGGTTTCTGCACTCATCTCATGTAAGTGCTGATGGTGGCATAGCCGATGAAGTCATTCTACGCATCATAATTACTCGAGTAGCTTAAGCCACTTACATGATGTCAGTCTATCTGTAGTACATCGGGTTTAAGGCGGCATCACCAAGAGGGATCCTGCTCCTATATCTGTTCGCCAACTTTGTGTTTGATCGTCAGTATATCCAAAGGATTATTTCGATAGCAACACAGTTTGATTGGTGGCAATTCGATTGGCAACAACCTTAGGATGCCGGTTTCAGTTGCCTCAACATATCTGTATTATGATCCCACTACTTCTCTGTCGCATGTCGACGCTAGGAGTGGAAATGGAGGCAAAAACGTATTTGGCTAACAATATTGTTTGGAATAGTATTATAAACGAGGGCAACTAGCTCGTTCTGATAATGTATGAACTCTTGTTGCTATCCCCTGAAATATCAGAAGCGTTTAGATAGATTTTATTATACTACCAAAGTTTTTTTATTTTTGAGAACGAACTTTAGCGATATTTCTTGGTTTAAGATTTTTAGTAGTCGCCTTATGTGGTCTTTAATTTCTAGTTAACATCGAGAATATACATCAATAGGCGTTAGACTACAGTACAATACCTTTTCTTGTTATGTTTACTAAAACTTTATGCTAATTTTTTTTCTAACAGCATCGGCAGAAAGTACATCCAACTTATGTTCTGAAAGTGCAATTTTCGCCAGATAGTACATTGATAGCTACTGGAGGAGGTGATGGGAAATTTAATCTTTTAAAGACTGCTGATTTCAGTTTAGTTACAACGCGACAGGGTAGTCCATCAGGTCATCACTGGGTTTGGGATTGCGCATTTTCGGCAGACTCTCGCTTTTTGCTCACTGCGACTTCCGATGGAGTTGCTCGCTTATGGAATTTGGAGACAGGTGAAGTACCCGTTGAATACAAAGGACATCAGAGAGCAATCACTTGTATGGCCTTCCGTGATCATTCTTTGAAGTCTATGTAGTCTTTAACTCGATGAAAACTAGATGTATAGTATGAAAACAAATGCTTGATCTTATGGATTTTTACTTTTTATAAAGCTGTTATAAACGTGAACTTCTGAGCTTTTTGTAAGTGTCAATTTATTTTCTTAGCATGGTACAGATGTTAATGCTTGCAAAGTGCCGCTGTTTATAATACATCAGATTTCCAAATTAGAGTACAACGTCGAAAAATTCAATTTATGTGAATTGATAGATGAATGAACCTTTTATGATTTCAAACGATTTATACTTTTTACAGTAATGCACTTACTCTAGTAAGAATTATAAAACAAGGACCTTGTTGTGTGAATCCGCATTTTTCCACCTGTGTAAAAGTTATTTAGACCCATGAGTTGTAGTCATTACGCTTTCCGAAGTTTGTTTGTCACGCAGGTTTCTGTAAGTTGTTTTATAGTTCACAAATAGATTCGTTCTTGGGCCAATATGTTTCATTGAAATTATGAACTGACCAATGGTCTACAGTTTGAGCGTTTGCATACGACACTGAAAGTTCTAGGACCATTTCTGGTATGAACATGAAACACTCGTGTTTTTTTGACAATAGGAATTGAAGACTACTTGGTCTGGGTCCGCGCAACCATTGTAACCAGTGGTTGGAGACTCTGGTTGACAGTGCTCAGAATCGATCACAAGGGCGTAGATGCATACACTCTTTGTCTTCCCTTAAACCATGTAATTAAAATTGCTCTATACCTTTTTTTCTATGGACTAATTCCTTCTTCCTGTATTATACGCGATCTTGCTTTAAATACATTACTATCATTGAAGTAACTACTTTATGAATTTGGCGTTCATCGCGTTGTGCTAGTGAGGTGTCGCAAGTTGGACCGATGCATATATGTGCCTGGTCGTACGCTGAAGATGACTGACTTGATAAGCAACAGGTGCACATGCGAATACGTCCAGTACAATTGAGTACGTAGGGACGCCTTTATGTACTTGACTTCAAACTACATACTTAGTTAAGTGTTTTAATTGTTCCCACTGAACTTCCTCATTAAAAACTCCCCTAGAATTAGTCAACAACTCCACAATGTAAGTTATAGAGTGCAATAGTCTGAGCTACGGGACTTTCTACTCCATTTCCATAGGCTACCATAGTTGTGTTAAGGCTTTCAGCCTTTCTCCGTATCATTGCTAATCCATTATTTTGTCTCATTTACTACACAGCTAGTTAGTTTTATTTGACCGTGCTAATGTGTTGTAACAACTTGAACTAAATTACGCTCGTGCTCATGTGTACATTGATTATGACTGACCATGAAAATAAACCAAGTTCCCTTTTAGAGAAAGCGGATAATATTGCTGACGAAAGACATGATTATCAGCGGTACCGAACAATCCAAGTCACGCATAAAACAAAAAATATGGATTTATTCTGTCAAAATAAGTTCATCCAAACTCCAGTCTTCAAAACTCCCATCAGGAAGGAAACGTCGAATAATGATAGGTATCTTGTTAGCCCTTAATTCTTTTTCAGCAATTTTTAGAGGATCTCGTTCACCATCCAGTTCAACCATAACGGGAGCAGACATTGATAGTTGCAGAGCTCGTGCACCTAAAACTCTAGCACGCTCATATTTCGTAAGATATGGAGTAGTAATCCGTTTACTTTTTTCTACTGGGGCAGCCATATTTTGACCTGATAAGCGCGGCGCTTCATCAGCTGTTATGTACGTGACACCTTCTATAAAATAATATGCAAACGCTTAGTGACTGGCCTCTGTAAAATCTCTAGAAATGTATATTATACAACTAGTTTTAGTGTGTACTCAATCTGTGCAGACTAGGTTGAAGATATCACATAAACTGTACTACTAAACAAAGAGTCTAATAACCACGAGTACATTGTGTAGGAAGTAATTACGCTATGTAGATGTGAAGTGCAAGTTCGTTACACATTAAAAGGTAATCAGGGTTGCGGAGAAACAGTTTTTTCACAATATTGATAGACTCAGAAAGACCTACTGATGTTTATATACTTACTTAAACACACACAATGAGGCACCAAATAAATTGCTCAGTTTGTTTGACAGCTGCGATAACGCCCGGGTGCCGAAACCGAAGCAGGTGGTTTCCTTAGGAGGCCACACCTCGAGCCCTTGACTTAAAAGTCTGATCCACAAGACAATGAAGCAACGTAAGATGTGCAGTCCCATGGTAGCCGGTCACCAATAATAGGTTCATACTCCATTTGTCTCTGGAGCCCATGTGCTCGATTGGTTTGGAATCAGAGTTTAAGAAGACAAACAGCATCGAGGAATAAAAGGTTAGGAACGACACTTCGTTCAAGAATTAAAGGAATATTGATGATGGATATAATTGCAACCGTTATTGCGCGTAAACTAAGAACTTGAACCATTACTACCAAGAAGTTTGTAACTATCGAGATCGATCAACGGGAGTTAATGGCTTCATGGATTGACAGCACTTAATCCATTTGAAAAATTCATATCATAATTTGTATTAGACAAAGTGGTAAACAACTCTAGCCAACTGATTAGTTAAATATCAGCACTAACAAATGGGAAGTTTGAGAGATGAGAAAACATGATATCCTTGGGTCGCTTTATGACAATGTGGGACTTACCAGGTTTTGTGTCTAAATCCTCTTCTGGTACCTCGTCCAGAGGCTCTTCATCTGATTCAAAGTCATCTGCACCGCCATACTCATCACACATTTTACGAATAGTTGATTACCTAGAGAAATGTCAACGGAAAGTAATTGAATTTGTTTATATATGAACTTTTCTACATAGCGATTTGAAAACCCATATTTCGGTACTGCCATTGTTCATAGCACGTTTTGGCTGTTACAATAATTATATGGACACAGTGATTTTTTCTTACAATCGTACCATTTGTACTATGAAGTTCAATCATGCTTATAATATGATCTGAGTCGTGAAAGTTTGTCATTAAATGTCAAATTAAACCCGATATCGGATGGAAAAACTTCTCAGCGTTGTTATCATAATAGTTGCGGCTCACTTTTAAAACGTAATATGTATCAGATCCAAAGAAAAAACTTATTACTTTACAAACAAACAAGGAGATTGTATAGATAGATTTGGATAAGAATATCAAGAGCAGTGATAATGACTAACTCAAAGGATCTGTATAAAAAATTTTCTAAAAATATTTTTTCCGAGAAAACAGGCCACTTAGTGGGAATTTAAATCCTTGTTTTGCACTGTGTATATACAGCCGACCCGCATGAACAAGTCTCAGTTTACGATATGTGACTGGGTGGTGAATATCGATGGTGAGACTTCAATTTACGGACGATCTTTGGTCGACACTGAGGTTATCCAGATACTGTCCACCTGTTGACTCGGACTACATGACAGTTATAAAGCAGCGTGAGGAATTAGAATTGTGATTTACAGCTGAAGGTTAGGATTAAGAACTAGATTTAAAGTTTTTATCACGAAGTGGCATCATCTAAACTGCCGAAATGACATTCAGCCAGATGGACAAAATACAAGATTTACCTTGTATTTGATTAGTTCGTCTATAAATTATAGTCTCCCCGAATGAACTATACAAACCTCGAAGTGGCAATGCCACTGACTCCAGGTAACAGTGACGCTAGAACTCGAGTTTAGCGGTGACTTATATATTGCAAGTCACCTAAAGAAACTTTGAATCTTTTCTTGTACAATCTGAATAAACGATGATTGTTGTACATAAATAACTTTAAAACAACGTTACAAAGTGTGTAAATACAGTATATACTTCAGTGTGTTCACTGTGTTCTAACCAATTTTACCGAAAATCGACATCGCAGTCCGGATATTGAAAAGGTATTACAACAAGAAGGATTATTTCTCCAACAATGACTTTTATTTGGCTGCAGATGCACTTTCTGGCCAGTTTAGTAGTATTTGCTTCCCTCTGATACCAGTGAAGAAAACTTTCGCCAAAAATGCAAAAAGGCATCTGACCTCACCGCTACTACAACGTTCGGCGAATTAGAGATGATGATAAGCACTCTCCTAACGCTTAATATATCACAGATATTTAGTATCTGAAAAGTTTACTCTCAGTTTTATATGTTATGATCGAGGACACCGAAGTTAGTCAGACCAGGATGCAAGAACGAAGTGGTGCGATGATATATTTGGAAGCTAGTCAATATGTCAAGATCTATATGATCTGAGCTGACTAGTAAATACCAAGCACGGTGTACCTAATTTAGACCTAATAAGGATGGTTGAACGATTGCCTGCAACCACAGTTCTGTAGCAAGATTCATAAGATCGGCAACGAAGTCGATAAATACAGAATTATTGATTTTGATTATTCATTATCCGCAATGGACCTCCCCGTTTAGTAAGGTACTAGTGTCCGTAAGACGCAAACAGCCAGGATTTTGAACTCAATCTACGACGTTTCGAGGTACTTGGTTGTAACAATGAGTACACTTAAAATTTCGACTAATCGTATTCTTCGATTTTTCATATTTTTCAGCCTTCCTAATAATAGAAAGAAACGAAAATGTAAGTACGTATAGAACTAAAATTGTGTTTAATAAGCGATCAGATCGTGCGAGAAAACCTGTAAGCAATCGGAAGTCAATAATTATCGAAAGAAGCACGCCGTGCCCGTGAGTTTCTCATATGCGTCCCTATTGTGGATGACTCATCATCATGCAACAACAAAACGTAATCATAAATTTAGATATCAACCGAAGTAGAAAAACAAGAGCCTAGATAAAGAAGACTGAGGAATATAAATGTGGCCACGCGAGTCACGAGTGAAATATAAAGTACTATACAAAGAACAATAACTAGAAGAATAATAAACAAATAACGAGATTGTACTATAAAACCTCCGAGGTAATTTTCAGAACATACTTTCTTTTACACAGTGTTTGTGAACGAAATCTTAATGGCTGAAAAGCAACTAATATTCACCAAATAAATAGTGTTTAACTATGCAAATAACCTTTCATATATACGTTTCCGACGCTCGAGAAAAAATTGACAGACTTTATGGTCAAAACTTTAGGATAAGAAATTCAGTCTGCACTTTTTGTCATCAAATGAAACCAGCTTTTGTACAAAAGTTGGAGTTTAAAAGCTTCCTAATAGAGCTTTTTGGTTTTTAATCTAACCGGATGAACGAATTTTGCGTAAATAACTGTGGGACACTATTCCAGACATACCTTGTTATGTCATACTACATTAAGCATCTCAGGCATCCTACCATTCTGAACTGGGAAACTAAAGAATTCCAGGCCGTTAATCCAAACTGTTTGTTCTAGCCATAGACATACTCTGGTAATACTAGTTTCAGTCAGTCAGCTACAACGTAGGGCCAGGCACATATATGCATCGTTCCAAGTTGCCATGCCTCATTAACACAACAAGATGAACACCGGATTCATAAAAGTAGTTAATTCAGAGGTGGTAATATATAAAAGAAAGATTGCAATAAGGATATAGTAGTACAGGAAGAAAGAATTAGTCCGTAGAAAGAAAAATATGAAGCGATTTTAATCTCTTAGTTTAAGGGAAGACATAGAGTGTATACACCGACGCCATTGTGATCGATTCTGAGCCATGTCACCAAGAGTCTCCAACCATTGGTTACGATAGTCACGCGGACCCCAAACAAATAGTAGTAATACTAGTTTGTGACACAAATAATTGAGTTTCACATTCTTTTTCACGTTAGTTTCCATATTAACTTTGTCTTCTATTACTCCATATTTTTGCGATTGATCTCTTGCTTTTGTATCTAAACGTTCCTAGCAAGTATATATGTGGTCAGATTGTTCGAAATGCAATACGCAAATACATCATATGGTTCTGACTGTCCTTGTCTTCGTATTACAGATTCCAAGTTTTCAAAGGAATGAACGAGTTTTAATTTATTTTATTTCTCCCGTTTATCGAACAGCTCAGGCTGGTTAATACCGCTGGTATATCTTGATTTTTTCATGTCTATCCTATTTCGGTCGTTTATCGAACTACTTCAAGGTCAAGTCTGCACCCCAAAACTAGTGTGTGTAGCAGCTGATCTTTTACTAACCAATTTTTTCTCGTTTTCTTTGTGTCTGATAAACCTGCGCAGTCTAAAAAGACAGTTATATTCTTACTCATTGACTTGGCTTTCATAATTCAGATAGTTTACCACACATAACGGCTAGCCTTTTTTTCTAGTTAGTTCACTGTTTTTCACAAAAACTGTTTTTATTTGTTCTATTTTTAGTATAACAATAAAATATATTTCTGCAAGGGCAGGTACACGCCATTTTACAGGCACGATCTACAAATTACAACATTTATTGTTTCACAGTATGCATGTTAAAAGTAGTCTATAAAAGTGAATATCAGTTCATTCCTTCAGATATACTGAGTAATCTTCAAAATATTTTTCAAAGTGGCATCAGGTCCCCACTACACAGCAGGTCCAGTCACGGCATAATTGTGTTAGGATTTTGGTCGGGCTACGTATTTATGCAATTTTCTAAGTTTATAGATTTTGTAAAGTAGACTTGTACAGCGCTTGGTGTGAACTATGATTTTGAGAAAGCACGTACGTCTAGTTTGTACCAGATGTCAGACTTTACACAGCTGTGTCCTCAGAGCAAGATTCTGAAAAAAAAGGAGCCGAGGGGTGGCAAGGCACCTGGATTTGAATGATAAACAATCCTTAACATTTTGCAGTGGAACAGACAGAGATATGATAAATTATTAGATAAAATCTCGTGTAGCTAGAGTAAAATATGATCAGAGGCTTCAGATGAGAGAATGTACTAATATAGAACAATGAGTTGTGATATTTAAAAAGGTGGGATAATCTCAAATGTAAAAATAGAAGTCAGGGTTGGAATAAAGAAGACTGTTTATCAGAACAGAAAGTGCATAAAGTGAGTATTGTTAAGAAAACTAATAACTATGTCTTTTATTGTATGATGTCACAAGCATTCGGCGTTAGAAAAAACTTCGGCCAGTAATATCTGTACAGTCAAAGCCTTCTAAATCAGTCAAGTGAGAAGTCAGGAATGAAGGAGTTAGAAGATATATTTGGAAGACTATCTGTATATCGAGAAGTGAATATTCTAAGCTGGCTAGCGATTGTGTGGGGTGTGTAACACGGTGTACACACGCGTGATTTGGTTTGGACCCCTGACATAGCTTCCAAATTGTTTGTCGTTGACAAACATACTTCTGGTAACTTGCTATGTATAGCAGCATCTGATGATCTACCTTTACTATAAATGCCTATGTCGTACAATATAGTAATGAAAAACAGGTACAATGAACATTTTAATTCGCCGTAACCTTAGTCGGTTTTTCATACTTTCAGCTCTCCTGGAAAAAAGTATATGTAAGTGCATGTCGATTTACACTCGTACGTGAGTAAAGACACGAGACTGGCGAAATATAGAAATCAACTCATATACACGCGTCTCACAAACATTCAAAAGCGTTGAAACGATTTTCGCAGGATGTTTTTATGGTTTTCTAGGTGAGAAATGAAATTTTACACATTTACGCAAGCATATTAGCAACAAAAAAATTTGTTTCTTTGGAACAAAAAACAATTATATATGAGTATCTAAAAAGTTTGTTTCGGTTTTTTCACATAAGAAAAATTCGAGACGAAACAAACTGTTATGTAGTGTTGTAGAGGCATTGGGCACTAACTACACAGTTTTCAAGGTTGA